AGCTTTTGAAGAATTGGTGAGGATTTTCTGTGAACTTTAACCCAGTGTTATTTATTCTCTCTTTCAGTGTCTGAGTCCGCTCTTCCTTCAGTGAAGGTGAAGCTTCATGACTCTGCTACTCTGCCCTGCTCTGAGAGATGCTCTGGTTTGGTCAGATGGTCTGTGTTCCATAAACCCACTGATGTTCTGGCTGAGTGTGATCAGACTTCATGTAGATCAAAGGAGGGATATCAGATGATCCATGATCAGTACCTGAAGGGAGATTTCTCTCTCATCATCACTGAAGCTGATTTCACTAAGAGGGATTGGTACACGTGTGACTGTGATGGTAAAGATCTGTGTGATGTCCGTCTTCTGGTTCAGCGTAAGTGTCCGTCTGCTTTCTAGAATGAACGTTGCTGACCAAATCCCAGTGTTTCATTAAACACACAGATGCTGAATTAAAGTTCTTGTTTGCTTTCTCTCCTCAGCCATGAACATTCCAGTCCAGTTAAAACCAGGTGAAACTCTGATGCTGGATTTGGACATACCTGATACAGTGGAGGTGATGCATAACAGCACAGGAGCAGCAGATCGATCCAGTGGTCAGATCTGTACAGTGGATGGACGCTCAGCACAGTGTAAACCTGAATACACACAGAGAGCGTCTCTAACATCTGCTCTTGCGCTGAGAGCAGTGACTCCATCTGACAGTGGAGTTTATACTGTAATGGACCAAAGGAATGAAGAGGCCATTCATATCTACGAGGTGACCATCCAAGGTATGACCTTAGTTCTGTTTTTTTTTTTACACCTTATACAGTAGAATTGGGCAGCGTCGTATTGTTTCCTCTACCTGGATTTTACCCCAGAGGGTGCAGGGGTTTCCCAGCAGCCTAATCAAAATTGACTCCATTCCTTCTACAGAATTGTTTGTGATTTAACAAATTCTGAGAAAACAACATCCCAAGAACAGAAAACTAGAAACAGGATCTGGTCAGTCAGCCTATCAGTGTGGGGCCACACAGTGCACTAATCACAAAAGGTCTAACAAGTACAGCAGAGTTAAGCTGGCTGTGGGACAAACCAGGAGCGATTCTAGAGCCTATTCAGGGCTGCTTCAGCCCCCATGTTTTTACCTCAGCCCCCTGAAAAACTCACTTTTCCCAAATAAATTACGGTTCTTGGGTTCTGTGAACTGTTTCTCCTCGTTTTACTGCATTGCTGCAGTGAACAGCCAGCAAACCCTACTTTGAGTTGTCCCTTTTGGTAGATGTGGCCTACACTCACTAATAAATGGCTACGTAAAAAGCCGCTTTTCCACTGCATGGTACCTGCTTGACTTGACTCGGCGCGGTACAGGCTACTCCGTTTTCCACTGAAGATGTAGAACCCCCTCAGTGTAGCAGGTCGTCATAGCGATGCCAAACGAAACTGAACAAAAAGATGTGAAGGAGACAAATTCTGTTCAGAAGAGGCTGATGGCAGCAAGACAAAAAAGGAGAGTTTGGGGAAAACTACGTCAGAGTTCAGACGACGAGACGATTCTGGTTGCTCAAAAAAAGGCCACACGAGAGGCTGCGCTAACCTGGTAGCTAACGTTAGCATATCGCTGTTGTCAGAACAAAATCTTGTATGTCAAAACAGTAACTTTACAGGAGAAGGAAAAAACCTACTTTACTTTCAATGTAATTCAATGGAACCAGACTTTTTTCCAAGTCATTTTAGGTCATTTCTTTTAGTCCGTTCATCATGAAAGTTACACACAATGTAAAGGACAGCAGGCATTTTCAAATTATGTCAAAAACAGAAAAATGTCAAAAATGGGGCATAAAAGGTTTTCTTCCAACAGCAGTGATATGTGTTTAGCGATTCTGACCAGACCAGATTCTGACCAGTCGGTTGTCTGTAGCGTTTTTTCCGTCACCTTTCGGTGTTGGCTCAGCTCGATTGGACCTCTATGGAAATCGTACCAAAAAAGTACCAGGTACCATTTTTGCCTAAAGGAAAACCAAAACAAGGCGAGTCAAGTCGAGTCTGTACCACGTAGCGGAAAAGCGCCTTAAGATTGAAGTCGTCCAAACGTTGCCACCCATGCTACGATGCTCCACTCCCATTCTGATCTTACTCAAGGAGAACTAACCCACAGCTAACCCACAACCACTGATATCAAAAAACAAAGCTTGAAATTTGCTTCCCAGAGGTAACCAGACAGGTAAGCTGTCTAACGTTGTAACAGAAACACGTTTAGTTTGTGTCCTTGTCACACAGCCTCAGACCCTCCTAGACAGTAGAGGCTGGAACGTTCCCGTTATAATCCTTATCAGGAAAACTCCACGTTTATAGATTTCTCTGTTTTCCCCGGTTTCGCTCAGATCAGTTACTGATTTAATCCATTCAGATCCGTCACACCACCATGTAACATTACGTGTCTCCTGAAGGAAAGACAGGTGATGTACTGCACATCCACACACACACAGATGTGCCCAGTTTAGTGACCAGTTACATTCAGCTCATTTCCTCTTTGGACACTGAGAACCTCTGAGGGTGAAATCTTAGAATCCCCTGGTTTAAGAGCACCAACAGCTCAGTGCACCACAAACACTCCAGTAACTCAGCTGCCCCTTTCAGAAATGGGTCTTTGTTCCTTTACACTCGTGTTAGTGGAGCATCAGTCAGCCAGAACCTGGTCCGTCCTGTGTTGTGTTGAGCTGTTAGCCTCCTACTCTCCTAAAGACGGTTCTTGAAGGGGTCTTTAGTAAAGGAAACGGTTCTGTAAAGAACCATGAACACCCAGAGAACCCTCTGCATGCACTCTGAAAGGTTCAGATTAATGGAGAATGTGTTGTGGAGGGTTCTATGTAGGGCCTTTTTGAAAAGGGCTCCATACAGCACCCAAAAGGGTTCTTCTATTGTTACAAGCTTGACATCGTAACAATAGAGGAACCATTTTGGGCGCTGTATAGAACCCTTATTAATAAGGTTCCATGTGGAACTGTTTACAGCACATTCTGAAGAATGCTTTCATGACGCAAAGAACTCTTGAATCATACAAAGAGTTCATTTAAGGGTCATTCATGGTTCTTCATAGAACCTTCTTCATTACTAAAGAACCCTGGAAGAACCATCTTTAAGAGTGTAGCTAAGCCGGTGCTGCAAGTAGCATCACTTTACTGTCCTGGTAGTGTTGAACATGACAGTTTAACATTTTCATACCTGTTTGTTACACTTGGACTTGATTGACAGTTTATTAGGTACATCATACCATTTCAGCTTTGAAAACAGTGAATGTAAAATACAGAAGGACGCTGTATTACTGTTGTACTGTCCTGTACAGTTGATGTCTGAGTGGCAGCAGCAGTCATTAGCAAGGTGGAGCTGAATTAAATAGTACAGCACTACAAGCTTTTAACAGTTATTTAAATTTCAAACCAGAAAACAGTGTTTATCAAACTGCTGCCATGAGTTTAATGCTGGTGTTTACCTTTTATGTGATTTTTTTTTTTATTATTATTATTATTATTATTATTGTTTTTTTTTCCATATCTGTAGTATATCAGATCCTCTGTGTAGCTCAGCCTCTCCTTTGTTTCATATTCATTACACCATTGGGAAAGATCAGTTATTACAGCAATATCACACTGCAAGACTCAGTTCTGTGTTAATCTCCATCATTGAAATAAGCGCTGTGCGATATAATACGATATAATAATATAACATATAGTTGTACATTTCTACAGTACAGTGGAGATGCTAAACTACCCAGAGGACATTTAAATCAGATAATAAATCAGGTTTCTGTTGTAACTGCTTAATCTTTATATTCAGTTTGAGGTCTTGCATTGTGATGTTGTTGTGGTATCTTATCAGGTGATGGTGATGATTCTGAAGCACAGAGACAGACCCACAGTCGCTCTCGCCGCAGTGCTCCATCAGGTACACTTTACACTGTAGTCTATAGAGATCCTACTGTAGTGATTACACAGTGATTTTATAATGTGCTACACCAGATCTGGATCATTACAGTAGATCAGGAGTTTAACTCCATGGCTGGTGTCCAGCTCAGTTTTTGGTGGTTTAGCTGCTCCTGGTTTCTTATCTAATTTTTACCACGTACAGTGAGTTTTTACAGGTAAACTGCTGGACTGTAGCCCCCTAGGACTGATATCAAACCCTCCTGCAACAGAATATAAACATGCTGCATGATGTACAATAAATGTATGTTTAAAAGTCCTGAAATTGGAATTTGTGTATGAATTTATTTCCAACACCTTACTTACATTACTGGTAGCCCCCCACCCCCCCCCCATAAGTCATTTTGGACGTAAAGCACGTTAATAGCATGTTTGTTTATCAGTCCTGTTGGAAAAGCATCTCAGGTGGCTCCTCATGAAGCTGTTAGAGAAACACCAATAGTGTGTAAAGCTGAATCAGGGCAAAGAGGGCAGGGCTATTCTGAAGAATCTAAAATGGAACGTTTGTAATAAGATCACATGTTTTGGTTTAACACTTTTTGATCACTGCATAACGTGTTCTTTCATAGCTTTGATGTCTTCACTATTCTAAAACTTGGCTAATAAATCCTGCATAAGTAGACGTATCCATACTTTCGACTGGTACTGTATAAACAGACGTTCCTGGAGTTAAACAGTGTGAATGAAGCTCACAGTAAATGTTTTGTGTCTGTTTTTTTGTTTTATAGATCGCGAGCCGTGCATTTGCAAAGAGGGAGCTGCTGGATGGATGCTTCCAATGCTGGTTGTGCTGGCTGTGGCAGTGGCTGTGCTTCTTCCTGCATGTGTGATTTTAGTGGTGAAGAACAAACAGCTGAGTAAAAATCAGCAGCATCCAGGGGAACCTCTTATGAATGGACATGCTAAGTAGGTTCCAATGACTGTCCTGGGTAATAACGGTGCAGAAGAACAGCAGAGACTGGCAGAGCTCAGTAATGACCAGGCAGACTAAGAGATTATTCTTAATCTTTCCTTTTCTTTCTCCTGCTCTCTCTCTCTTGCTTTTCCATTCCTAGGGAATGTGAGAGTGGATGTTTATATTTGTCAGTGCAGAGAGTCCAGCACTGTCTGCTGTTCATCAGCAGAGCTTTGGAATCTCTTACTAACCCTCTTAACCCCTTATCAGGCCAAAGTTTTACTACACACCTGTAGAACTTCTCAGAGCAGCTCAGCTAGTTCTGCATTGAAGTCCCAGTTCCAGTGCAGTTACTGAGTAATAATCCTTGGTATGTAATAACCCTGGGATTTTAAGGGGTTAAACTGAAGGTTCTCTAAATCTTAAGTGCTCTTTGACTGCCAAGATCTTAATAGAGAAACGCCTGTGTTTCTTAGTGAAAGTCAGATCTGAGTAATTGTTTACCCATCTTTACACTACACTGGACTGTTACTGTGGACAGACTGTTCTCTAGTGAATTCAACAATGTGAAGTTTTTTCAGAAAGGAATCATCAGTGTCTAGTTCTCATCAGTATCTAGTTCAGTAAGTTTGGGGATGTTACACTGGCCAAGTATTTAATCCAGATAAAAACTGAACTGGGCCTCATTTCTACAGTGCAGCTAAGTGGGAAGCTTGTTTAATCAGGTCTGTAAAATTTTGTTCCCATGGTAGAGAGTGATGGGTGACCTTCTGTGGAGCTCCACCATCTAGGACTCTTATTGTACAAGTGCAGCTGAAGGAAATCTCAGGTTCAGTGTTGGTACTATGTGAGGTCCAAGTGAGCAGAAGTGGCTGAAAACAGGCAGAGCAATTCTGACCGAAGTCATTTGTGACCCAGAGTCCAAGAGAGCATCCCTGGACGTTGGGAGCTTGTTGAGCTCCAGTGATGGTGTGTTGGCATCACTTTGAAAAGATGTGGTGGAGCTTGGTAGTATCATGTGACGGGAGGTCTAGCTAATGGGGGGAATTGAGTATAACTAAAATAGAGAGAAAAGAAAATGAGGAATCAGGGAGTGAAGGAACAAAAGTGGAGTGAAGGGAGTTGGAGTGCAGCCTGATGACCAGTTGATGGCTAAAGGACTGTTATGGACTGCAGATTGGATTCCTGATTGGATGTTTAATTGTTTTTAAGTGCAGTAAACAGGCTTTAGACATTTCTTCTCTCTTGCTCTGCCCCTTTTACTTACACAGATCAAAGAATAAGCTCACTGTAGCTTTATTGCACCTTGGATTAGAAGAAGAATAATGTATTACATGAATGTGTTTTTCAGTGGGCATGTTTACATACACAGCTACCTGATGTAAGATCAAAAACACCCATAAGACATTCTCCCTTTAATCAGCATTTCATTTCCCCACACAAATGTCTGTCCAGCAGCTGGAAGACATCTGGAACACCAGTCCTTCCCTTCAGAGTAAGCCTGGGTCAGTATAGACAGTGAAGGTGTCCACACTGGTTACGGTGCCATTTATGAGGGGCACAACAAATTCATGGTTGGCCTTAATCTGAATTTCAGTCCTGCAGACGAGGGGGGAGTAAAGATACATGCATAAACGAGAATAAATGATAACTGCAGTATTTGGGAAGCATCATTCAAACTGCAATAAGAGAGACACCAGCTTGATAGTAGTATAAAACATAAAAATGAAACCAGCATAATTTTGATATGCTAATGTCCACCATTCATGTCTTTGGTGTTACAGTGAGCTGGTTGATACTGCCATGTTCAGATTTGGATGATTTTAGTGTTTATCTAATGCCATAGGACAAAATAAGCTGTGTTCATTAGCAGTGTAACGATACACTCAGCTCATTGATACACAATGCTGGTACTGATATTTTAAATGAAAATGAAATGCAGAAAAGCCTGACTATAATCACGTGCTGAATGGTATGAACATGCTGGAGTGGGTCGCGTATTGAGCTGGTAGTTCAGCATTTAAACAATGTAACTGCATTAGATGTCATGATAGGATGACCATTAACCCATTTTAAACTGCAAAGTCGTGATGTTTTGATGCATTATTACGCCTCTAGCGTCCGAAATACTTCCAAGCCTTTATTGCACGTGTTGCAATTGCAAGATAAGAATATAATTCAGCTGGCAGATCTGCTGCAGGGACTTTTTAAAAATATTTGCTTTTATGCCTGTAAATGCCTTTTGTTTTTGCAGGGTGTTCTCAGTATTATGAAGGGTGTTTATTACTTTGTGCCAAAGCTGTTTGTCTATAAATGCGAATGCTTTCAGTGAGGTAGCTTGAGACGTCTGTGTGAATATTCTGTTATATGTATAAATGTTTCTGTGCCTGCTTTAATTTCATTTGTGTAATTCTGTGCTGTTTTATGAGGCTGAAGTAAGACAACATAACACCTGTAAGACTGAACCGAGTGCCTTAGGCCTGTTTCACACACACTCATTCACTCCCTCTGTGTGCCCTGAGTGGCTGCAGGTCAGACACGCCTACGTTTACATTTACGGCATGTAGCAGACGCTCTTATCCAGAGTAACCTACACTTTGATCATTTTACACAGGTAGGCGAGGGGGTTCTAGTGTAAACTACAGCCATACACACATCCATCCATTCCAGCTGGATAACGGTCATATCAGTTACTTCACATAAGAAGAAGTAGCTCTATCAGAAGATGTGTATGTAGCATGAACTGGTGTGTAATTGAGGGATAACAGAATGTGTTATTTATTTTATTTATTTGTTTCTTTTTTCATTGGTTTCTGTAGTTTTTTCTTTTTAACGTGGGAATTGAAAGCGAACAAGTCATTCAGAGCATGTAGAGGTGAATGTGTGTGAAACAGGTCCTCAACACCATCAAACTGTCAGTGCACTGAATCTAAATGTACACATGGCACATTTTTGTAGTTTTATATTAAACTTTTCTTTTTAATTAAATGTGTGAGTTTTCATTTCAGTAAACCTCAGTCTGAGTTTGTGATGACTGATGGTATGAAGTTAAAATGAGGCAGAGTGAGTGATGGAGCTCCGGACGTGTTTACAGGAGTTTCCAGTAAACCCAACATCTGCAGTAAAATCCCCCAGAATGCCTGTTCTGTACAGGAAGGAGCTCCGCTGCTCACTGGAAAGCAGAAGTTGGAGTCCTTATGACCTTTGACATTTCAGACCATTTACATGGTGCTTCTTCAGAGCCTCTGGAGTTATTCATGTTGAGTTTAGGGTTTGCTGCTGGCTCTGCACTGATAATACTTAGATTTATTGTACAGTGCATTTCTTAAAAGTAGCACAGCTAATAATGCTCAGAGAGAGAATCGGGTAAAGTAAGGAAAAAAGAAGTAATAAAAGGTTTAGAGGGGAAATAGAAATAATAGTAATGCTTAAAACAAGTGATGATAATAGAAACAAAAGTGATAGTAATAATAAAGAAATAAGAAAACTTTAAAATAATAGTAAAATGTTGGTGTTTTCAGCCACTGCTTGATGTGTCGACTGTCTAATCTCAGCTGGGTCATTTTTTAGTGCTTAAATCAGCTTCAGCTCATTATTTCTTAGCTTTTGGTCCCACATACAGAAAATAAGCTACACAAACAGCCTGTTTTAAATTAACGTTTCTGTGACGTCACAAAGAGCAGTACATTTACACCTAAAGCCAGTTTAGCTCCGCCCACTCACGCAGATGCTATAAGGAGTGTTTCAGCCCTGACTGCTTTTTGAACAAGGCACATCCAATCAGGACAGAGCTCATTTACATACGTCAGTCTTAAAGGCACAGTAACACAAACAGGCTGTTTAACTGTCAGGGATAAAGGGGTAGAAACAGACTGTGGATCAGACAGTCCAGTCTCTGTAGAAGACGACAGGGCCTCAGGTCTGAAACCCAAAACAAAAGAGGCCTTATATGGAGCCACAGTGGTGTAAGATGGTCATGTAGATGGTCAGGATGAATTAACCTGTCTGAGTTGATGGAGCTCAGATGAGTGGGATCTGTATGAGTGTGATGGTGAGAATCATCTGAATCTGAAATAAAGAGGAGATGTTTGTTTATTAGGATTTTCTGATGGAATTATTGTCATTTATACACCTTCTTTACTGTGATTGACCAGTGTTAGTTCGGTATTCTCATGTCCTCCATCCCAACAGACCTCCTGTAGATGTTCATTAGTCTGGGTCAAGGAGCCGAACTGACCTGATTAACTACAGTAAATATCAGAGGATTCATTAACGAGACGATGAAGATGATGCTGTTGATTTGGAAAGTGCTTTAAAAAACTGTGGTTCTGCAGTATAAAACACTTTTAATTAACAGTGAAATATTCAGACTTTATGTATCTGAAAAGATGATGTTCTGATCTGTCTAAACTCAGGACTCTAACAGAGACAGTACTAAACTAAATACACACAAAATGATCTTAAACTCAGGACTCTAACAGAGACAGTACTAAACTAAATACACACAGAATGATCTTAAACTCAGGGCTCTAACAGAGACAGTACTAAACTAAATACACACAGAATGATCTTAAACTCAGGACTCTAACAGAGACAGTACTAAACTAAATACACACAGAATGATCTTAAACTCAGGACTCTAACAGAGACAGTACTAAACTAAATACACACAGAATGATCTTAAACTCAGGACTCTAACAGAGACAGTACTAAACTAAATACACACAGAACGATCTTAAACTCAGGACTCTAACAGAGACAGTACTAAACTAAATACACACAGAATGATCTTAAACTCAGGACTCTAACAGAGACGGTACTAAACTAAATACACACAGAATGATCTTAAACTCAGGACTCTAACAGAGACAGTACTAAACTAAATACACACAGAATGATCTTAAACTCAGGACTCTAACAGAGACAGTACTAAACTAAATACATACAGAATCATCATTTATAGGTACTTTGGGGGGATTCTGTCCCAAACCATAACTCCTACATTCACACTTGTCAAAGTGATACTTAATATTTTTGTAATTTAACCTCTTCAACTCCTTGAGACCACCGGTGGTTCCAAAACGCACTTCATCATATTCTTCATAACGTTCATATTTCATAAGCTACATTCTAAAGGTGGGGGTCGTATGAG